AGACTCCACCCGTAACCTGGAATAGAATTCTCCATCGGCCTAACACTTGAAGAATTTTCTCAGGACTTACGAAGCAGGGCTTAAACCAAACCAATAAAAATCAAAGATTTTTCTTGATTTAAGTAAGAACAATTTTCGGTTTGTCACGGGGTTTTTTAACAGGACACTGTTTTCTCAATGAACACGTCAGTAGAATGAAGATAATAAACAACGACGAATGCAGATTCTGTAGGGAAAATAGAAAACAACAATTCGTGCTCCAAACTTTGGTACAACTGGTATCGGAGATGTAGAACTGGAGATGGAGAACTGGTGTCGGACTATGTAAAACCGTCTCAGATACGAGCTTTTGTCAAAGCCCTGAGACTATATGATGAGTTATAAGCCAAGAAAGGGGACAAAACAGATGGACAGCGGTGAATAATTTCCCCCCTCTCATACGATCTACATCCTTGCCTTGAAGTAAACTGCCCATGTGAAGCTTTAGTTGTCTTTTTTGTTGTAGTAGGTTAAGTTAGCTGTCGCATTAGGCCTAGCATGTATGGTTATAAATATCTACAATTCCTAACTTTACGAAGCCAATATAAGGATTCGTCTGAAGAAGTCTGAAGAGAGTCAGAAGACATTTGAAAGCAAATTTATTTCATTTATTAGTGTATCTGCTGTCGTAAAATCATACAAGATTTTGCGACAGCAGTCAGGCAATTGTTAGGGCGATGGAACTGTGTACTGTGTACGAAGTCTAATCTAAATAGGTTGCAGATATGTAAGAGTTTAGACGTATTTAGTTTGAGAATGATAACATGCAGCCACCTATAGTAACACGAAAGAGACTCCGAATTTCGAATGGTGTTATAAACCAAGATGAAATAAAAATAAATCATCTATAGATCGTTATATTAAGGTAAATTCTGAGTCTAAATATGATGAATGAAGATATGCATCTTCATGGGCGCCGGAAGAATGAAATTTAGAAGGGGGCAAGTTAAAAATGAATAAAAAATTGACATTTTTGGTAATTATTGGGAAAACTGGAAGTCGTCCGATTTTCACCAAAATTGGTATACACCCTATTTTGAAGTCGTAGATTACGAATCTGAACTTTTTTCTTGGCGGTCTCTTACCGTTTTTCAGAAAAACGGAAAATAATTTCAATATCGAATTTCTTAATTTCTCATATTTTTAAGGTTTTCTAGCACATATTTTGTTAGGTATTCAATAATGTTTTTGCTATTTTCTGTTACTTTTTTAACCAATTCTATGCATAATAGAGGAAAATTTGCTAAAATAAATTTGTAAACAATCTGAAAATGTTAGGTTATAGCTTTGTTCGGGTTCTTGTTATTACCGATTCTGAACCGTCCAAGAACTCTGCAGCACATGCGCAAATGAAATAATGTCTTCATATATCCTTCTGCGCATACGCATCACAGTTCTAGGACGGTTCAGAATCGGTAACACAATCGGTACCCACAAACCGTGGGTACAATTATCGACGATGTCTCTGGGGGTTGTCATCCATTCGTTGACGTAATTTATGGATATATTCTTCTCCAGCAACATTTTCTCCCGGTCGGCAACCAAAATTCAAATCAGTTGGTAGTCGCGGTATGTATACAGGTCGGCGGACTTTCTGCCGCATAACGATGCTGGCTGGAGTTTGCCCTGTAGATTCTTGGACGAGTGAATGTAGGTTAGCAGGCCTGACGGAATAGTGGTAGGTCAACTGGTGAAGGAATTTATCTGAGTCTCTTTAATGATCAGAGACTACTTTGGCCAGATAACGGTTGATTGTCCTATTCATGCATTCAACCATCCAATCGGATAGTGGCAGTAGTCCTAGTTTTGCGGATGTTAAGAACTTCGCAGAGACACCTTGGAATAGATTGGACTCAAAGTATCTTCTTTGGTCTGAATAAAGCTCTATGGGAACACCAAACCTGCAATGATGGACGCTGTTTGAAAGAAAGCTAGCACCATAGTGCTAAATTGGAATGGGAATCCTCCAACCGGTTTAAGACACTCGAAAACATTTCTCAGGACTTACGACCGAGAGATATCAAAAATTTTAAATTATATCAATAACAATCTTCGGTTTGTCACGGCGTTTTTAACAGGACACTGTCACTCAATGAACACCTCAGTAGAATTAAGCTAAGTAACAACGACGAATGCAGATTCTGTGGGGAAATTGGGGAAACAGCAGAACACCTCCTCATATAGAGAGTCGACAACTATTCATATCATAAACTTTGGTACGACCACAGACTAGAATATAGAATGTAGAATGAGTAAGAGAGGGGGTCAGTCACTGCGACCTTAAAGATCTATTGTGTTCCCTTCCTTGAGTCCATCACACAGTCTATAACCCATCCTTTGAACCCATCATACCCCTGCTGTAGAGGGGACAGGGTATTTCCCATCCTCCTCTGACAACAGTTCTTCCTCCGAGGATACACACCCTTCCACGGTTGAAATTTGGCCCTCCGTGCCGCCCTTCACAGCTGGGGACTTGCCTCCGGCCGAGGATCTGTCTCCATTTTTTCCACCTCTTTAACTTGGTCTCTCCTTAGACCTGAGACCGGTGTTGTCCCGTATCTATAATAGAGGATATGCCCCTCTTTCTCTATTGCCTCCTCTTTGACCACAGACTAACTTATTTAAATTAATTTGTAGTACGACTGATATCGGACATGGAAAACTAACTTCTGCAAAACCGTCTCAGATACCAGCTTCTGTCAAACCTCTGAGATTGTATGATGATAACCACTAATAACAACGTAGTAATGTTATCTGTGTTATAAACTCAAGATAGGGGAAAGCAATAGATCTATAAGGTCGCGGTGATTATTTTTTCCCCTCCCATAGTGTCTTACCTTACACCAAAAAAAGTTATACTTAACACAATTTCCTTTCCTTTCCCTTCTCATGTCGCCTTTTATTGCATATGTCTCTTTCAAGAGGGCGCAAGATATTATTATTATTATTTGAGAAAAAATTTCTTCTTCCAGTGCCATTTTTTTTCACAACAAGGGGCCGTCCTCTGCCGGAAACACTGCGACCTGTGAGGCCTATTGTGTTTGTCCCCTTTCTATATCTGCACCCATTCTCCTATACCTGTGCCCTCCACTAACTTATGCAGGTCCTTGATAGGATGGTATATGGATTATATAGTTCCTACGGTTCTAGCCTAGCTTTCCCAAATAAAAAGTGTTGCTTGCGGTCCAGAGCCTCGCAGTGACATATTATGTGCTTCTATTTCAGGATCTTTATCGCAGAATTTGCAGCAAAGACTTCCTTGGTTGAGCTTGTTCAGGTAACACTTGACAGCCATGTGTCCTGTCAAGAGGTCTGTTTTAATCCGCAATTTATTCCTGCTAAGCATTAGCTGTTCTTTTGCGGTTTTATAGCTAGGTCCTTGGATAAAAGCCTTGCTGTGCCTGTACCCCTGTCTGTTTCTCCAGTGGACATTCTGCTTTTCCCTGATCCAGAGTTTTACTGCACTACGGGCCATACATTTAGGTTCATATTTTTATTCGTTATGGCATTCCAGTGCCATACTCTATACAGATAGCGTCGGCTACCTCTCCCATATACTTGTGATGTGTGTCACAGTGGCGCATCTAGAGATTGAGTCTGGGAGGGGTAGAGGCAATATTTAAGTCAAGTACGAGATTTAAATTATATTTAAACTGAACAGTATTGTGTGGAAAAAAAAACTTGGATTGGGCCAAATTTTCTATTTTGATTGTTATTATTAGAGGCGTCATATTTCAAAACCCGCCTTATCCCACCATCGTTGTTTCGAGATAATAAGCAAAAACTGTTTTAGCATATGTTTGAAGCGTTAATTTACAAAAAAACGTGTCCATTGAGTGGAGAGAGTTTTGTATCTCGTTTTTCTAGAAATAAAAATTAATATTTAATTTTTAAACAGAAAAAAACACCAAAATAATTCGGATAAAGCGGGTTTTGTTGCAGTATGGCTATTAAACATAAGCTGTCATTTTTATGTAAATTTTTATGGGAAATGTCATAGATCGTCATTTCCTAACCAACTGGACACCGTTTTCGATCATACGGTATTTGCATTCTAACTTGATATATTAAATATACGATTTTATTGAAATTAAGTAAGGATTTGAAAAGACGTCAGTAGTAATATTATACTTGTGTAAAAAGCTTATGAAAAAATGCGGGATTTGTAAAAATAATGACAATAAAAAGCAAATAAAACTGGATAAGAGGGATTTTGCTGCAGTAACGTAATTTGTAGTGAATTTATATAAGAATATGCGACTTTTACTGCAGTTTGGAATTATGTTTATGTAGATGTCAGTGTTAACTATTAATATATGTCATTAGGCCATTTTTTAAAAAAATGGATAAGGCGGGTTTTGCAATTTGACGCAATTTTTTTTTATAACTCATTTTATCTTGTCCCTGGGAGGGGTAATTACCCCCATTACCCCTCCCGTATATGCGCCCCTGGTGTGTCATCAGTGTTTCACAAGTACACGAGACCTACAGTTTATCGCCGAATCCAAACGACTCTTTTGAGAGGCTGTATAAGGCAAATATACTCAAGATTGTTTACCATTGTTTTCCTTGAGGTGGCGGCTCGCTGGGCCCTCTATTTAGATAAATAAATATTTTTATTTTAAATAAATAAAGCAACCGTACTGGCTGGGGATCGAACCCGATACTTCTCGCTCCGAAGATCGACAAACACAGAGGTCGCGACTAACAATGTTTTACAAAAGAACGACGATCTCTCGATTGACGTCGATCAGTATGACTGTGACCACCTGTGACCAAATGAACTGTCTTAAAAGTGATGAAATCTGTCTTAAACCTCGACACTGATCAGTGTGTGTTAGCCCATTTAATTTGCATTGAGGCATCACATGTACGGTTATAGCCAAACACGTGTTCGGCTAAAATGTCTAGCATTTCTGTGTACGTCCAGCCATCCAGCCTTAAATAAAACTACGAAATAAACACATTAAGATTTTTATTAGAACTTTTGAAATGTCAAAACAAATGAAAAAAAATGTACAAAAAATATGAGTAGTATTATGTAGAAAAAAAAATCCTTACATAGTAGGACTCGAATACAAGCTAAGAAATAACAAAAAAAATATTCTGTAATTTAATCGCCAAAAACAACAACCATTCATTAATTAAATAAAATCATATGGGTTATATGTTATTCGACTAATTATTATCTGACGATTAAAACATTAACAAATTCTGAAATAAGTGTTGAAGACTATTTTTTTTCCAAAAAAACGCCATAATACATAAAATTTTACATAAAGAAGATATTTGACTATTCTTCTAACTGAAATTAAATTTGCTTTAGTTATCTACTCTTACACATACATATATAATGATATATACGATTTTTCTAAATATCTGAAAATTTTAACAGAATAGAATTTTTATTTTCCTACATAGAAAAGGCCTTCAGTTGATTTTTTTCGAAAATTTAGTTTCTAAAAAATGAATATAGATGGTCTTCCTTCGAAGAACAAAGTGAGAAAAATATTTACAAATAATAATGTGATGGTATGGTGGCTATACTTATTTTTTTATTTAGCACAGATGACAAGAAATTGCTTTTAATATACAAAAAATATAGAACCAACTTAACCAACACATCTTCAAACTTAAATTTTTAATACTAGTATTAATACATATTGCAGTTGTACATATAAAATTATAAAGTAATTGAATAATTTTATTAAACAAAAATCAAACTCCTTTTAACGTATAATACTTAGGAAAAAGAAAACTTTTTTTTATTACAACGTCCAACTTAAAACCTAATAAATACTTTGTAATATACATTCAGTAAATAAACTTTTATTTCTGAAAAAAAAAATATTTTGGGAATGTAAGCTTTGGTATAATTAAGGTAATGGTAAAAATTTAATAATGTACATACTTTTAGTTACATTGTATCTCAATTTTAATTATTGTGAAAATAAAACTAGTTAATTCTAAAGATTATTTTTTTCTTTCTGGAATTGGTTTATGGTTTATTGCAATTATTGGGTTAAATGTAAATATAAGTGAACTAAAGAATGAGATACAATGTAAATTAGATTAATAAATAACTACAAACTAAATTCTACGAAGTAAAGAAAGAGAAAAGGACACGAAACTCAAAACTGTCAAAACATTTAAAGAAAAATATCACAAGCACATACAAATAAAATATATTGTGATGTTAGATAAAATGTGGTCCTGAATAATGATATTGTGTGAAAATATGTACTAATGTTGACGTAGTTTTGTTTTAATATTCTATTAAATTATTTTTGAATAGTAATAGTTGTAGTAGTATTAGTAGTAAGTACACCAATTTTACTAAAAGTTATTTCACTGATATATGTTTTCCTTTATTACTCCACATTATTCTTCTAATATATATTTATAATACCAACAATTTGATTGATTTTCTTTTTGGTAACTGGGACAAAACATATTTTGAAGTAACTCGTGGTTAAAAAAAAAACAATACAGGTGTTTGCTCAAGAAGTCTTTGTGTGTAACTAAACTACTCTAAATAAAAGCTTTGATTGTGATATTGGGATTTTGCTTGCCGCACATTGGGATTGAGTTAATCTAACAACTTAAGCGAATTATAATCAGGTAAAGAAAAGAAGGGTTCGGAGAGTTTCTTCTAATCTTTTAGAAGTTCCCGTAGCCTTAAGATTTCCTTGTGCGCCTGTGCCAGTTCACCTTGAAGTACGAGTTCCTTTTCTCGTAGACGCTTTATGTCCCTCTGGCAACTCTGAAAATAAGTAAAGCATTAGTTAAATATATAAATATAGATTTTTATTTAAAAAAAAATGTGTGTACAGGGTGGGTCAAATTCGACGCTTTTAAAGGGAAACACCCTTTTCTATAGGAGATAGGAAAACTAATATTGGTGTCTGGAGATTTATCAAAAATATGGTGGTGAAAACCGCACATCGACATCTGTTACCGTTTATGAATTACGGGGTGTTTTTCAAAAATGTGCATTTTTAACAAATCGCTGTAACTTTTTTGCTATGGAAAATTTTGTATTTTTGTGAAAAAATTTCTAAAACACCTTTTTACGAAGAATTTAATGGGTTAAGTATAATTTTTTAAAAATTAATAATTTAAGAGTTATTAATAGAAAATATGATTTGGGACACCCTGTATATTTTTAATTAAGTGAAAAGAACTTAAAATTACCTTTCCAAAAATATAGCACACTTGATATTTTGTTATAGTCCTCTTTAAAATACAGACTTTTTATAAGTTCGCCACTGTTAACTGTTAGTAGGTTTTGGACCCCTTATTGATGATCTGCCCCTAATGGAACTGAAAAACATATTTTTCCAGCAAGACGAGGCACCGCCTCAGAATGAATTTATCAGCAAATTTTTGCAGCCAATTTCGAGAATAATAATAATTGAATTGCTAACCAAGATCCCAGCCGTTGGCCGTCGAAGCCCCTGAGGCCGCCGGACTTAGTGCCTGTTATCCTTAGTGGATTTTTATCTTTGCGGAAGAATAAAGGTTCTTATTTTAAAATTGCCCGTGTAATCTAGACAAAAATTAGACGTATTTAAAGGTTACGTAGGTTAGGGTATCTTTCACCCCTACTGAGTTAATGAATTCCGCGAGAAATGTTCAAAAACGGTCCCGTCTATCCATAACAGAAAACGGTCGACATGTTCAACACCTGTAGCAAAATCTCATGTCTTTGTTTGCTATTATTTTTATTGCTATTAGATATAGTTTAAATGTGTTGATGTTGTTAAATATAGTTTAAATTGGTATAAAATTCTGCATCTCTCATTTTAAATATTATTTTCGTTTTGCTGCTCACAGTTTTTTTGCATTACAGCCGGCGCCGTTCAAAGCCTACTTATTCAAAGTGGGCGAATTTTTAAAAACTCTATATTTCGAAGAGGAATCGAGCAAAATATCAAGAATGCTATATTTTTGGAAAGACAATTTTAAATTCTTTTCAATTAATTAAATATATACAGGGTGTCCCATATAAAAAATCAAATTTTCTGTTGATAATTCTTAAATTATTAACTTTACAAAAATTGTACTTAAACAATTAAATTCTACGTAAAAAGGTGCTTTGGAAATTTTTTCACAAAAATACAAAATTTTGTATAGCAAAAAAGTTACAGCGATTTGTTAAAAATGCACATTTTTGAAAAACACCCCGTAACTCCAAAACAGTAACAAATATCGATGTGTGGTTTTCATTATCATGTTTTTCATAAAAAATCAGCTTCAGACACCAATATTAGTTTTCGTCTAACTCCTATAGAAAAGGGTGTTTCCCTTTAAAGGCGTCCAATTTGACCCACCCTATACACTCTTGAGGTTATTTTAAAACAGGTATACTGTAATTGCTGCATCTTCTCTGTATTTAAGGATGGACACTGGACAGGCCTGTATACATACGCTACTAATGTAACAGAATTGTGTCGCCAACTTACCACATTCTGTCTGAGTAGATCCAATTTGTCGCATTTGAGCCTGGTCACCTCCTGGGCCAGCATATCCTGCTGAGATCCCCCTCCCACTTGGCCGTGTGACTCGCTGTCCGGCCTCTCCTGGCACACGCTGCAGGCCTTGGCTGCCGTCTCCGCAGAAGACATAGACTCCAGACCAGTATCGCTATCTACATATCTGAAATTCCAAAAAGTATTAAATGGTTTCGATTTTTAATGACGATACATCATGCAGGTAGGGGAAAAGTTCAAATGGTAGGCATGTTAGCGAAAGAAAAGAACACCAAAATAAAATACTAATTCAGCACAATACAGCAAAACGCTAAAAACATATTCATCTGCTGATAATGCTAACATGGTGAGCGAAACGCGCTTTCAGTGTTAAAAGTAAAGTGTTTTGGTGTATTGACCAATTTCTCATTTTTTTTTAAATAGGACACCCTGTATATTTGTCAAGAAATTAGTTTTTGAATTAGTGATTTATTTTGGCTTTCATTTAAATATTATAACTGAGGCGTCAAGTTGCAAAATTAGCCTTACCCAACAAACGTTGTTTTGAGATAATAAGCAAAAACTGTTTTAGCAAATGTCTGAAGCGTTAATTTACAAAAAAAACGTGTCCATTGAGTGGAATCATTGTTTTGTATCCGTTTTTCTAGAAATAAAAATTAATATTTAATTTTTAAACAGAAAAAACACAAAAATAATTTGGATAAGGCGGGTTTTGTTGCAGTATAATGCATATTGGCGGGTTTTTGTACAATATGAAAAAACAAAAACGGCGTCAGCGATGACTATAAAATGAAGAACGCTGTCATTTTATATGTAAATTTATATGGGGAATGTCATCAATCGTCATTTCCTAGCCAACCTAGACGCCGTTTTTTTCGATCATACGGTATTTGCATCCTAACTTGATTTATTAAATATACTATTTTATTAAAATTAAGTAAGGATTTGAAAAGCAGTCAGTAGTAATATTATACTTGTGTAAAAAGGTTATGAAAAAATGCGGGATTTGTAACAATAATGACAATAAAAAGCAAATACCGTATAATCGAGTAAAACCGGCGTCAGCGATGGCTATGAAATGACGATCGATGACATTTCCCATATAATTTTACATATAAAATGACAGCGATCTTCATTTCATAGCTATCGCTGACGCCGTTTTTATTCGATCATGCCGTATAAGTGGATAAGACGGATTTTGCTATAGTTTGGGATTATGTTTATGTAGATTAATACATATGTGTCATTAGGCTATTTTTTTTAAATAGATAAGGTGGGTTTTGCAACTTGACGCCTCAATTGTAATATTGGTCATTATCTCAAAAATAAAATCGTGAAGAACGAATCTAACAAGGCCACTGATTTCCTCGTAAAAAAAACTTTGTTAACAATCCGTTTTTACCTTCCCATGTAGGTATCATAAAAACTAAGAAGAAAAGAAAAAATAGACCTCATTTTCAACTAAAATGGGTATACTCTCTCTGTACATAGATGTAAAGGACCTTTTTTTCTTATATTAAAAGCCATAATGAATTACTCACCCTCCAGCCAGGTGTTCCAAATCCTCCGAGGTGAGAGAGGAATCGTCACTAGCTTCGCTGAGCGCCGGATGACCACCACTAGGAGGCGCATGCGCTGTTAAATCTGGTGAAGACGCCGTTGAAGACCTTCCACTTGCGGTACTACCCGATTTCTTTGAGTTCGATACGATCGACGATTTTGATATTGATCTTCCACTCTGTAGATGAAAACAATGTTAATCATATGTCACAAAGTAATTACCTTATCGAATTATAGCACTGTATTTCAAATGGTTTCTATATACTCTATAATTTAAAAATTGATAATAAAGGTTTAGCATATTTATATGTATCAGAGTTTGCAAGTCTGTTTAAAGGACATACATATAGCCTCTCGGTCATGGGTCGATATTTACATGCCTAGGTACAGTATTTGTGTTTATTACATAACCACCTAATTCGGCGATTTGTGCTTGGAAAAATAGTTGCTCTTCTCTTTCTGTTCAGGACATCTTGTACTAAACACATGACTGCATTCTCCTACACACGAAAATGGGCACCCAAAGCCACATCTTGCCGACCGTGTATACAGTTTAACAGACGGATTTGAATCAACTGGGCATAGGTATAGGTAAGAAGAATGCATATCTCATAAAATATGGTTGTTTTTTTACTCCTAAAATATCCAGGAGCGTGCGGTCTTTTATTAGCACTTATTAGCACTTTTTAAAGCACTCCACTAACTGAATCAGAACCCTGCCAGAACTGTTCTGTTTCTCAAGTGGAAACCAACTTAAAGCGGAACTCAAGAACCTGGAAGACTCCATCCGTAGCCTGGAATGGGAATCCTCCAGCCAACGGTCTAAGACACCCGAAGAAATTTCTCAGAACTTACGACCGAGAAAAATCAAAGACTTTCCTTTTTCCTGTCTAACAGGACACTAACGAACACCTCAGTAGATTAAAGCTAAGAAACAACAGTGAATGCGGATTCTGTGGGGGAAATGGGAAAACACCACCTCTTCACTGAGTGCGCCGAGACGTCAACCAAGATTTTCTTTGATATAAGTAAGAACAATCTTCGGATTGTCAAGGGGTTTTTAACAGGATAGTGTCTCCTCAATGAATATCTTAGTAAATTGAAGCTAAGAAATAACAGCGAATGCAGATTCTGTGGGGAAAATGGGAAAACACCAGAACACCTACCACCGAATGCAACCGTTCGTGCCAAAACTTTGATACGGCTGATGTCGATATGGAGAGCTCTCTCTGTCAGTTATCTGGAGCCGTCTCAGATAGTGGCTTTTCTCAAAGCTCTGAGAGTATATGATGAGTTATAACCCGTTATAAACTTTGGTGCGACTGTTATCGGAGATGGATAACTAACCTCTGTAAAACCGTCTCACATACTGGCTTTTGTCAAAGCCCTGAGACTGTATGATAAGTTATAACTCAAGAAAGAGTTTCATTATTTTTACACATTTTTTTGATATTTCTTGAGTTACAACTTATCATACAGCCTACAGCGGCGCTTTTTACATCCCTGAGAGATGTAAAAATTAATGAAACATTTTTTGGAAAGTATCCTGTATATTTAGTCAGAGTATAAATGAATACAGGGTGATTCGCGGCCATAAAACGTTAGGCGAGATAAATAATATTTTTTCTCTCTTCGTGTATGTAATATCCAGTAGGTTTATTTATACAAATCGAATATATCGCCTTTCGTGTTAACTTATACCCCAAATTTCAACTCTAAAAATGTTTAATTCATGATTTTACCAATGCTCATTCACGATCACGTTTTTGTCAATTTTATACCTTTTATTTTTTATCTCAAAAACTGTTAGAGATAGGTATAGGTTAGTATAATAGAAAAATTATGAGATATGAAAGTAGTTTTCAAAAATGTAATAATATAGTGGGTGTTCCATTTAAAATAAGAAAGATGCTATCACTTTTCAAATGATGCGGCAACAATGAATATTTTAGAAAGATGCAGCAGGTGCCTTTATGTAAAAAACCAAATTTTCATAAACATTCTATTACCGATTCTCCATAAACGTCTAACGCGACATCGCCGTGAATCACCCTATATATGATGGCAAAACTAGTTATTTTGAACTCACCGACGGTGTCGACTCCGAGATTGGAGGCTGACTTCCTTTTTTGCCCAATTTCTCGTGATTGCCGCCGGGACCCAAATTGTTGTCGCTCTGACTAGTTTTGACCTTGGCTGCGCTCCAGGCCTTCTTCACCGTGTCTATGAATCGCGCTCCTGGACCCGATTCTCCTTTGGGGGTACCCGGAGCGGCCAGTTGGCTACCTCCCAAAAATTCCGCTGTTTTTTCCTGCAAACAATAAAACGATATAGTATTAATATCGTTACTTCTGATATTCAGGCTAATATGTATTTTATTCTCTTTACTAGAGTGTACCCGCGACTTCGTTCGTGTCGAATTAATCATTTGTAATGGTGATGATAAAGCAAAGCAAGAATTTCCATTAACATACCAACTGGATAAAATTTTCTCACATTTATGTCAGCACGGGAAAAAACAATATGGCGATAAAATTATATAACTTGGTAATATTTGAGGGGTAGTTTCATCTCGTTGGAATTTGACTTTCGAAAAATCCGTTTGCCAAAAATAAGCTTTTTACATCAAGCAGTTTAAGCAGAATCGTGGTTAAACAATTACCCAACTTTTTGGAACACCCTGTATGATTTTTTAAAAAATTCAAAACATGTAAAAAAAAACAAAATAAATTATGCGTATCCAAGTGTTTTTCCGAAAGAGTAACCGTTTTTTAAATACCAAATATTGTAATATTTGGGGGGCGTTTTCACCCTCTTGGAATTTGAGATTCGAGAAACCCCTCCTTATCGAACCTTTACACCCCACAGTCAATCCGTTTGCCAACAATCAGCTTTAAACGTCAAGCAGTTTAATCAGAATCGTGATTACTCAATGGTGATATTTTATGAAACACCCTGTATACATTTTGAAAACCCTTAAAATATGTAAAAAAACAAAATAAAATATACGTGCTTTTATAATAAAATATACGCCGTTTTTTAAATAAAAAATATTGTAATATTTGAGGGGTGGTGTCACCCCTTTGGAACTGGAATTTCGTAAAATCCCTTCTTATCGAATCTCTACACCCTAGAATCAACCTGTATGCCAAAATTGAGCTTCTTACGTTGAGTGGTTTGAGCAGGATGATTAGGACAGGTGATTTTGTTAGGTGATTAATCAGTGAGTCAGTCACTTAAGGATTTTATATAGATTTTTGATAGATTCACTACTTGTTTTCAGTTTATATTGTTTTTTATAATAGCTGAACTTTTATTAGATCTTTTTATTATATTAAAGACAGTTGCCAAACTTTTTGAAAAGGATATGATTGGAGAATGTAGAAATCAGAAGAGATTTTTAAGGTACCAGAATCCTAGAATCGGAAGAGGAACACAACAGATCTGAAAAGGTCACGGTGGATCAGGCCGATAGCCACCTCGAAGAATCAAATATAATCTAATGCATCATATAAATCTATACTAATATATAAAATCCTTAAGTGACTGATATACTGATTAATCACGATCCTGCTCAAACCACTCAACGTAAGAAGCTCAATTTTGGCATACAGGTTGATTCTAGGGTATAGAGGTTCGATAAGAAGGGATTTTTCGAAATTCCAGTTCCAAGAGGGTGAAACCACCCCTCAAATATTACAATATTTTTTATGTAAAAAACGGCCAAGTTTCCGAAAAAACGCTTAAACACGTATATTTTATTTTGTTTCTTTTTACATATTTGAAGATTTTTTAAAAATGTATACAGGGTGTTTCGAAAAATCTGGTCATGGATTGATTAATCACGATCCTGCTTAAAGCGCCTGACGTAAAAAGCTGATTTTTGGAAAACAGATTGACTTTAGGGTGTAGAGGTTCGATAAGAAGGGATTTTTCGAAACTCGAATTCTAAGGGGGTGAAACTATCCCCCAAATATTAAAATATTTTTTATTTAAAAACCGGTGAGTTTTTCGGAAAGACTCTTAAACACGTATATTTTATTTTGTTTTACATATTTTAAGATTTTTTATAAATTTATACAGGGTGTTTCATAAAATATGACCATTGAGTAATCATGATTCTGCTTAAACTGCTTGACGTTTAAAGCTGATTTTTGGCAAACGGATTGACTGTGGGGTATAGAGGTTCGATAAGGAGGGGTTTCTCGAATCTCAACTTCCAAGAGGGTGAAAACACCCCTCAAATATTACAATATTTGTTATTTAAAAAACGGACAGTCTTTCGGGAAAACGCTTGGACAAGCATAATTTATTTGGTTTTTTTACATATTTTGAAATTTTTTAAAAAATCATACAGGGTGTTCCTAAAAGTTGGGTAATTTCTTAACCACGATTCTGCTTAAACTGCTTGACGTAAAAAGGTTATTTTTGGCAAACTGATTTTTCGAAAGTCAAATTCCAACGAGATGAAACTACCCCTCAAATATTACCAAGTTATATAATAATATCGCTATATTGTTTTTTCTCATGCTGACATAAATGTGAGAAAATTTTATCCAGTTTGTATGTTAATGGAAATTCTTGCTTTGCTTTATCATCATCATTACAAGTTATTAATTCGACACGAACGAAGTCGCTGGTACACGCTAGTAATAAAAATAATAGAAAAACATTAATTTGTTATAAAAAAAATCAACATTCGTTTTAGCGTCATTATTGTTGACTTTTGCTATATTTTCAATACACCAATCGACTGGGGACCCCACAAAGCATCTATAAACATATCTGTACCCTAGAAGCAAACTATGTTAAGTCCAAGATTGGCATATTTGAGTTAGTTCAAAAATGTTGGTATAATTTATCTAAAAAAACTGTTTTACATTTCACTTAAGTTCAAAATAAGTTAGTCATATACCAAATATTACAATAATAAGTTTAAAAATAACCGAGTAATTAGGAAATAATTTCAAAGAAGAACTTTAAATTCGTTTTTCCCAAAACTGTTTTTTTGTGAATTAAAATAGTTTGCTTCTGGTTTACAGACATGTTTATAGATGCTTTGTGGGGTCCCCAATCGATTGGTGTATTGAAAATGTACAAAAGTCAAGGATAACCACGCTAAAACAAAAAGTTAGGGGTAAACCTAACTAATATTTATCTTCATCATTTTTACATTTGTAGAGTTTTAAAAGCAAAAAATGAGCACATCATCGTAGTTGTGGTAGTTGGTTTACCTGTCAAGATTGATATTTCTTATTGACAATGTCAAAAAGTACTCTTATTAAATTTTCAAAAATGTTGTTGTTGGGAAATGTTTCTTAATTTCCAATTTTTTATCTACCAGCAAAATAATTATTCTTTCAAGTACAGTTAAATTTCATCATTTTACAATAACTTTTATTTTTGGCATTATTTCAAATATTGAAAAAAATGATCAGTCCCTGTTTGTCCCTATAACTCTTACGTATGGATGAAAAAGTATTTGATATTACTTAATCTGACATATTAACACTTATTTTCGAAATATGTAAAAAATATGCCTCTACCGGGTGCGTCTCAAAAGTGGCTCACCCCTATAACTTGGTATGGTAGTAATGGACCTAAATTAGAATTGATTGACGTATTCAATTGTTTCTGGTCACTTCCTGTTTCACCGGAAATTACTATAACTTTTGTTATTTAAATGACACCCTCGGTATTTTACTTTATTACTTTATTCGGTAGAAAATGTCACTCTGAATAGAATGACATATCATATGTCAACTTTTGACATGTTCGCTTAATAAAAAATCGTATTTTAAATTTCAATCTAATGTGCCATGGCTATGTTAAAATCACTAATTTTTAATCAAGGGGCTTTGAAAAAATTTGATCGTCTAATGTTTTTCGTGTCTTGTCCTGGCCGGTTAAAAGATGCCCAAATCCTATTTTTAATCATATCTCAATTTTTTCAAATGGAACAACGGTGGCTCATTAGCATATTTGGAAAAAGCATATTTCTACGAATAATTTGATACCACACACTTGGTATTTTGAGTCAAATTTTCGTTATAAACCGCATGTTATAATTCCAAATAAACCGTATGCAAAAATGTCAAAGTTGACATATGATATGTCATTCTATTCAAAGTGACATTTTCTATCGAATAAAGTAAAAAAATACCGACGGTGCCATTTAAAAATCAAAAGTTGTAGTCATTTCCGGTGAAACAGGAAGTGATCAAAAATAATTGAATACGTCAATCAATCCTAATTTATGTTATATACTAACATACCAAATCTCGTTTGTGTGAGCCACTTTTGAGACGCACCCGGTATATCTAGAAAAAGTTCTTCTAATTGAATTACATTCATCGCTATAGAACAATCCGTATATCTTTGTTTTGATATTTATGTCTGTGCTGTGTATTTAAACTAACTATGCTGAAGAGTTGGTTTGTGCGTCTGCTGTTACGATAGAGGCACTAAATCATCATTAATGGAAATTAACCGCGAGAATTAGGCTAGGGCGAACTAGTTGCAGGATGCACTGGCGTATGCTGTTCTATCGCAAGAGAAATTGAGTCAATAGAAGCCCAATTATCGTGCTTTGAAGTTTCTGCACTAAGTATCATCTGTTCTCGGTTGGGATATTCTCGTGAAAAGCTGGTGTTTTAAGTACCTTGTTAGCTTAAGCTTATTGAATAGCACAAGTTGTGAAATCTTTTATTGTCATTTTGATATTCTATAATAATATAGAACCAGTGTTGCCAACTCTCTGAAATAGTTTCTCCCACGAAGACGGTCAAAATTTCCCGTTTTTTTTCTAAAAATTCTCATGAGGTCTCAAATCCAATATAGTGTCGTCAACACAATACAGATATTATGTTTTTTAACTGAAAACTAAAAAAAATTCCAATATACATTTTTTTCGTGTGAAAAACTCATGGGCGTGTTCCTGGGATCGAAATGTATCATCCCTAGAAATACCGTATGATCGAAAAAAAAACGGCGTCTAGTTGGCTATGAAATGACGATAGTTGACATTCACCCTCTAATTTTACATATAATAATGACAGCCCGAGTGACAGCCACAGAATAAGTAACTAAATGACAGCGATCTTCATTTTAAAACCAACTGGACGCCATTTTTTTTCGAACGTATGGTATTTGCACTTATTTAAAATTCACCATGTATTCGAGCGGAAAGGGTAGAAGAATAATGTCTGATGCCAACTAAAAATGTGTATTTAGTTGCGGTAATGCTAGTTAGAATTTACCCACTTTGCTGAGAAATGCGTATACGATAACTATTTTTTGGCGAATAATACACTAATTTAGAATTTCCAACAAATATAGTGTTAAAATTTCCCTTTTCATCCTGAGGGAATTTCCCACGAATCGGGAAATTTCCCACGAGTTGGCATCACTGTATACAACAATGGTCGGTAGTTGGTATATAATTTCATGACTGTTATTTTATATTTGATAATAACATACGATCGAAAAAAAGGCGTCAAAGACGTCTGGGAAATGACACTCGATAATAATTTTATGGTGGTTTAGCCCTAGACGTCATTTAGCCCGTATTCTTCTTTATTTTTAATTGCGCTTACCGCCAGTTGGCCTTAAAAAGATTGTAATCTATTTTTATATTGAGTAAAACTGATTTTTAAATGGCGTAGTCAAAAATAAATATAAACTAAAATATTTTTTTGGAAATACATTTGCGTCGGGAAATGTTCTATCCTTTTTTAATCTTTCTATAATTACTGTTAATTTTTGGAAAGTTTTATGTCAATTTGTAGGAAATGACGTCTAGAGATTGACCTCGCCAAAATTATCATCGTTTGTCATTCCGCAGCCGTCTTTGACCAAGGACTATACACACAGTATAGTGTGTATAGTCCTTGGTCTTGGACGCCGTCTTTTCTCGATCATACGGTACTGTTGTGACGCCATTGTGGTGTTCAATATTGGTTTTGTAATATAAAATTGTAGTTTATAGATTATAATAGAATAAATAGACAACAATGTATAGAGAGAGATTCTTTGTATATAATCTTCTTCTTACAGTGCTATCCTATATTATCGCCTGGGTTCTCTCTCTCTTTCCAATTTTTTATCTACCAGCAAAATAATTATTCTTCCAAGTACAGTTAAATTTCAGCATTCTACAATAACTTTTATTTTTGGCATTATTTCAAATATTGAAAAAAATGATCAGTCCCTCTTTGTCCCTATAACTCTTACGTATGGATGAAAAAGTATTTGATATTACTTAATCTGACATATTAACACTTATTTTCGAAATATGTAAAAAATATGCCTCTACCGGGTGCGTCTCAAAAGTGGCTCACCCCTATAACTTGGTATGGTAGTAATGGACCTAAATTAGAATTGATTGACGTATTCAATTGTTTCTGGTCACTTCCTGTTTCACCGGAAATTACTATAACTTTTGTTATTTAAATGACACCCTCGGTATTTTTTTACTTACCACTCACCACTTTAAGTTTTTTATTTTTTCCGATAAAAAATCGAGATTTGGAATTCATATTACATAAATTAGGATTTATTGACGTGTTCAATTATTTTCTGTCACTTCCTGTTTCACCGGAAGTGACGACAACTTTTGATTTTTAAATGGTACCCTCGGTGTTTTGTTGCTTTATTCGATAGAAAATGACACTCTGAGCAGAATGACATATCATATGTCAACTTTTGACATTTTCGAATATGGTTTATTTGCAATTGCAACATACCATTCATAACGACAATTTGACTCGAAATACCAAGTGTGTGGTACCAAATTATTCGTAAAAAATGCCTTTTCTAAATATGCTAATGAGCCACTTTCGTTCCGTTTGAAAAAAATTGAGATACTAAAAATACGATTTGGGCATCTTTTAACCGGCCAGGACAAGACACGAATAACATTAGACGATCAAATCTATTTTTCCAAGACTCCTTGATTAAAAATTAGTGTTTTTAACACAGCCATGGCATTTTAGATTGAAATTTAAAATTCAATTTTGTTTTAAGCAAACATGTCAAAAGTTGACATATGATATGTCATTCTATTCAGAATGTCATTTTCTATCGAATAAAGTAAAAAAATACCGAGGGTTCATTTAAAAATCAAAAGTTGTAGTAATTTCCGGTAAAACTGGAAGTGGCCGAAATGAATTGAATACGTTAATCAATCCTAATTTATTTCATTTACTAGCATACCAAATCTCGTTTTTTTATCTGATAAAATAAAAAAGTTATAGAGGTGAGCCACTTTTGAGAAGCACCCGCTAGTAAGTTATGTTATCGGTACCTATATAAAATGAAAAACGAGAAGTTCTGTATTCAGAAATTGCATACTTTTATCTTATTATTGCCCAAATCACTCAACAAAATATGTATTATGTATGTACATACACATACCGCCATTACTCGCTGACGAGTATGTGACACGCACCAGAAGATGGTCACGCAAGGCGTATTCTTTCATGAGCTTTTCTGTGACTGAAAAGCCCGATACGTGATGTTATCTGTCTACCGCACTCCAGACATTCAAAAATCTCATTGCTTTGTTGCCTCTTTACTTTTTGGTTGTCGCTGTTAACTGACTTTACAATTCTTCTCCATTCCGTTCTATTGTGAGCTGTCCCTTTTTTTAAGTTTTCGTGGAAAACATCCTTGAACCTTTTGAGTTGTCCACCCGGCCTCCTCTTACCGTCTACAAGCTCACCGTAAAGCAGAGATTTTGGTATGCGGGTTTCTTGCATTCTGCATACGTGACCAGCCCATCTTAAGCGGGACTTTGTAATCATGACTTCAATACTCTCGCAGTTAGCTTTTTCAAGGACCGATACGTTTGAGACATGATGGAACCATTTTATTCTTAAGAGTTGTCTAAGATGTCTCTGTTGCAATTTCTTTAATGCGTTCATGTGTCGGCGGTACGGCACCCAGGTTTCGCTTCCATATAACGTGGTGGGAATTATTATCGCTCGGTACACTGCAAGTTTCGTTTTTGTGATCAAGTCATGATTGTAGAAAACCCTGTCTTTTAATTTCCAGAATGCTCTTGAGGCGCTGCTAATCCTGTGCTGAATTTCAGAGTCGATATTGGCCTTTTCCGAAATCAAACTGCCGAGGTAATTGAATTCCGCTACATATTCCAACAGCTCATCTCATTTCCAACAAAATATTGATCAATTAAAAGAAAGAAAATAAAAAATATCACTGACATATGAGCTTATCCCAATGCTTGTGAATTGCACGAACCAATGATTAAAATTGAATTTCCTGAGAATGGACCAAAATCATGCTCGATATTTCTTGACGTTTTAATACCAATATCCATCGCGTTCTCTCGTTAAAGAGAAAGTCGATACTTATAACAAAGACCAGATTGCGTACAGCAGTCTGACATTTTGCCTTCGTCGAATTTTAACTAACTAATACGTCAATTTTCTACTACGTTACTGAATTTTAATTGAAGGACAACCGCAACAACATGTACCAGAACTGAAAATATGTCATCACATTGTTTCAAAAAGATTCTTGTCTTAAAATAAAAAATCTTGTACTTCGTTTTGGTATAATTAAATACTATTTTTAGAAATTACATTGTCCTTTAAAATTTATACATGACAATAAAGGTACAATTCCAAGATTCATAAAGATCAAAATCTTTATGAATATGTTTTTTGCTATAAAACTCGTACACTATTCAAAATTACACTTACATATAAACACAAACATAGATAACATATTCTATGTTATCTGTGATATAAGTCTATAAAACTACCTTTAGTTCATCGGTGAGACTCTGCAATAACGATGTCCTCGTTCGCAGTTCCAATTTGGCGAACTTCTCAGCTTTATAACAGGCGTTTTCAGCATTGATCAGTTTGGTGAGCAGGAATTCTTTAAACTCCGGTCCATGACGAAAGATGGCCGGCGTAGGGAGGGTTGGTCCGAAGAAAGGTACGTCATCTCGGGCTGTCACGCTCACCTTGTATCTACATTCAGAAATATTAACTTTACTTTTTGCATCACAATTTACATCCAGCAACAATGGGCACACACGTTGAATTTGATACTTAAGATCAATTTAATAATATCTATATCTGACCTACCTAGTATTTGGAGTATTTGGTTCCAACACTTGCACCACGATAAAAGCGTGCAGAAAATGCGACGCGATCATGTCAGGACAGAACGGAGTGTTTTCTTCCTGAAACACCACAGCAACGATGTCATTGCCGATATGTCTTTTTCTTTGCAACTGCTGAGGATCATTGTCGGTGTAGGGTAACAACGTTGATACGTGAAACATTATTTCTCGTTCTTTAAAAATCTGGAAAGAAAACATATCAGAAAGTTAGTGATAATAACAAACAACTAAATTAAATGGGTGTGTGAAAAAGGTACTATACTTGTTATATGTAGAAATAAAATTCAGTTTTAATACAGCAGCACAATGATGGTTCTAGAGAGTAGTGATGGGCACTACGATTCTTTTTAGTGAATCGAATCACACGATTCAATTTCTCATATTGAATCGACACCGATTTAATAATCGTAATAAATAGTATACAGGGTGTCTCAGATTTTAACCGGGAAAATTTAATAGACGATAGAACTTGCAAAAATAAAACAAAAAGTTCATATCAACTTGTAATATTTAAAGCTTCCTTTTCGAGATACAGGGTGTTAAAGTTACTTAAAAAAGAAAAATAAATTAAGATATTCGAAAAACTATTTAATCGATTTTGATATAACTTGACCCGTTTATAATACTTACTACGGGACTTAATTTGATGTAATTAGATTTAAGTTTAATGGCCAGGGGCGGCGGTGGGGCATCATTGTTAATTTATTTTAAAGGAAAAAATAGGCACGCCACTGGTTTTTTAGAAGTTTAATATTATTTTTGGATTTAGTAATTAAAAATATTATTTTTTTGTCTCCTGACTTTTTTGTCTATCTTGCTTACTTCTTGCGAAAAAAATTAAATTCTTATTGGTAATTAATATTATAATTGGTATTCTAATGGTAACCTGTATCTCGAAAAGGAAGCTTTAAATCTTAGAAGTTGATATGAACTTTTTGTTTTATTTTTGCAAGTTCTATCGTCTATTAAATTTTCCCGATTAAAATCTGAGACACCCTGTATAATACCGCATGACCGAAAAAAAATGGTGTCCAGTTAGTTGGCTTGGAAATGAACATCGATGACATTCCTAATATAATTTTACATATAAAATGACAGCGATCTTCATTTTATAACCATAGTTGACGCCGTTTTTTTATCACATTGAGCAGAGACCAACACTATTTATTTAGAGTTGCATAAAATCACGATTTCGTCTTTTAGTTCGACATTGAATAGTCGGTAATATTATTTTAACAAAAATATTAACGTGAAAATTAAATACCTTCAGATATCCCCGTACTAAGCACAGTATATATAAGTTTTTTTCTTGTAAATAACTTTCTTATCATTTGCATTTTATGATCATGATGTTTGTTTAGTGTTTCTGTTCCAGTCGAAATATTGGTGCATGCATTTATGCCTATATCACCGCCACGCCGCGCCGCTGTATAGAAACGAACGATCGCATTGTGATCCGATTCAATTCTCACGATTCTTTTTTACGGCTCATTGTTCAAATCTTATGGATCCGTGCTGGCCACGATTTAATTGAACGAACCGTATTGTAAGCAATGAATCACTTCTCACGACTCTTTGAACGCACGATCGCATTGTGATCCGATTCAATTCTTACGACTCTTTTTTACGGCTCATCGTTCAAATGTTATGGATCCGTGCTTGCCACGATTCAATTGAACGAACCGGATTGCAAGCAATGAATCGAATCTCACGACTCTTATGGATCCGTACTGGATTCAATTGAACGAATCGTATTCTAAGCAGTGAATCGAATCACACGATTCATTTTTAATAGACGTTCAAATGAATTACTCGTTCAATTTTTGCCCATCTCTATTCTAGAATGATCTATATTAAAATAGTTCAGATTTATTTTTTCAATTGTTTTCTCCAGTGTCGTGTAATGTGTAAATCAACAATGGAATTCAATTAGCATAGTGAACCAAAGGAATCTTTATGCATCAGCAATAATCGTATATAAAAATGTTATACAAAAGAATAACTTACTTCATATACTGCCATATCTCCCGTATGTCCGTTCTGAATATCCAATCCACCTCTATACCCCTTGTGATCTTTCAGCTGGATCCTCTGCCCCAACAAATTCAAAAATTCGTCCAAAGCCGGACTGGTCACGTTGTTACAAAACAATTCCTCTTCGGTCGTCTGCCCATATTGCTGGTACAGCACTCCGAACTTGAAATTGGTCACTAACACGTGCTCGTCGTACGTGGCAATCAACTGAGAGGACTTCGGATGTAGCACCGGTGCAAAATTGTCGACGTTGAGTTCGTCGTTTAGCAATTTTGCCATGCGAGAGGGACTGGGGTTCGGTCCGAGATATGCCGACGGTACTATCTCGTGTTTGGTTCCCGGCCGTAGGCGGAGCAGGATTCGAGTGTGTTCCTGTTGAGCTACGTTCTCGGTCTTGATGGAGAGCAGGACAGGGCCAAGATGTTCGTCGGTGCCGATAAGGTTAGAATGTTCCTGTAACAGACAAAAGTAAGATATTAGATAAAATAAATCTTTGGTATAATCTTCTATTAACTACACTACTCAAAACAATTATCGCCTATTTGAATAAAAGTAATTATTACATATATTTCTAAATGAAGCATGCATTTTTCTGCCTTTCTCTTGTGACTTTTTTTAGCATAATTAGGGTACGCACTGATATGTAGGGGTAGTGATGGGATAGTGATGCGTCTCAGATAGCCTCTCCTATCCAAATGTCAACCTCACCTTCGCGCTGGTATACCCTGTTTCTACAGACCGGGCTCTGACGACCGAATATAGGCGGTACAAACTTAGACCGAGAGGAAGAAGGAAATATCAACGTCCTGACGGCGTTGAAAGTAACGGGAACCTACGACGACCACAAGCAAGCAAACCATATTTCCCCAGGACATCATTTTGTCCACTGACATGTAATTTTTAGTCGGCCGACTATGTAGTTGCAAAAGTGAAAACAATACATTCTTATATGGCCGATCGGCCCAATATTTGACATTTGATTACATTGCGTAGCCTTAGGCAATGCGCTGACAGTCTTTAATCGGCCGAAAATTTAGTTGCATATTTGTAACCGATATATCCTTATCGAACCGCGTTCACATGCAATCAAATAGTCGGCCGATCGACTTCATAAGTGTGTATTGTTTTCACTTTTGCAACTAAATAGTCGGCCGACTAAAAATTACAGGTCAGCGCATAGGCAAAGGCATAGGCTTATTGTATCGAATTTCCTTTCAGTGTCCATACTATTTAAAATCGAATGTCAGGGAATTCAAAGTGTCTTGTTTTTCAAATTAATATTAATTTTAATTAATATTAATTTAATTCTTTAGAAAATATGCAATAATTGTTTAAGTTTATCTTTAACTTTGAATAAACTTATTTTCTATAACTTCATAAAAATATAACCTGTATACATACAATTTTAACAAAGATTTAATAAAACTGTAGTTTTTGAAACAAAAATTACAATACTGAGAACCCCATTATTTCTGTTTCAATTTTGGCCATTTTATATTCTGTGGCCACATATTTTCTGTTAAAATCATAACTCCTTAGATCACGCTAATCCCAGGACTCCAGGACCAAGGATTAGCGGTTTGCATTAAAATATGTCAAATTTAGATGTGTATACATTTTATAATCGTGCCCTTTGTATTGTTTTTTAGTTAGAGAGATTAAACAAGGATAAAACTAATTTCGTAATAATTTAATTTTATTTTTCTTCGTCATATAAAACAGGGTTCCTAAATTGATTAGCAATCTATAAACTATTAACAATTAGTTAATATCTAACGAAATTAGCAATACAAATAATAAATAAATAATCATATACAAACGCAGGCTAATAAACAAACAAGTAACACACACAAAAGCATTAACCATTTTAAAACATAAATAATTTATAATAATTATTACATTATTTCCTATATATTTTGTTCAGTATATCAGCGCTTCAGATTTTTGTAGTTCAAATATTCCAGTAATTCAAAAGTATGAATTTCTGTACTTTTAAATTAAATATAAATGTTCATATACAGGGTCGCTGTTATGTATGGAAACGGTCGATTATTAGGTAAAATATAGGAGGTATCTCAAAAAGTTAAATATAAAATACAAAAGTTATAGGATTTTTAAATATCTATTAGCGAGTAATAAATTTAGGCATACAGGGTCGGTCATTTATGATCGGCTTTAGCCCAGGCACATAAAAGACTCATTTTTTTAAATAGAACCCTCTGTATATTATTGCATATTTCAATTCTTCCGTCAATTCTAATCAAAAATCGAAATACACACAATGTACCTCAAACCAACCGTTTCCGAGTTATTGACGTTTGAAAAAATTACTTAAAAAATTTGATTTAATTAATTTCGACATGTTCAGTTTCATTTAACTATGCCATTCTGCCGAAACTGTGGTACTATTGTAATGGGTTTTGAAATGCCTATTAGCTGCTAGTAAATTTAAGTATACAGGGTCGGTCATAAAGTTGTGGCACATTAAATTTTTTTTTAAATGAAACCCCTTGTATATTATTGCATATTTCAATTCTTCCTTCAATTTTACGCAATAATCGTAATACACAATGTTCATAAATTGAAGAATTGAAATGTTTAACGAAAATTTTGTAATTTCCAGACTTGATATACATTTCATTTTATACATCTATAAATGTTAACTTGAGAACTAATGTCAAATATTTATTAAGTATCACAGTTTAAATGGTTGTACCCTGAATATTATATTATTTATATTTTAAATACGTTGCTACGGGTTGTGGGCCTTATAGGGCATATCGTAGTGCATTGTTCTGCAATCTTCTTCCCTCTCTACTCTTCTCTCCCTAGGTAAAATAAATGTACGCGTCCGTATACATACGTTTAAAATGGGCAGCTTGTATTTCAGTCCATTCGATATATGGCGAATTATTGACACTTGAAAGGTTCTACAGGGAACGAGGGCGATTGAATTTGCGGTCTGCATTTAATAGAATTTACTTTTTTTGCTTCTCTACTTCCAAAAGCGCGTTCGGTTTCAGCTGACAGTGTTCACACTGACGAATTTAGATTCGTTAGATTATCGAAAAATAAACGTGGACATCAGAATTCATGTTTGATCAACGAACTACAACAAGATCAAACTAATAACTAATATTTTTTTAAAACTTTATTTTAATTATTGTATTATTTTTAAGAAATTTTCCAAAAAATAAAAAGTGATTTAATAGTGGGCCTGGGGAGTTTGACCTAGGAATCCAATTACTTTAAATTTATTTTGTAAATTCCCTTGAAATTATGTTTTATAGATAAAATACTTATAAAATACTAAAATGTTTACCCATTTTCTAGCCGACCATACCAAGAGGTATGGTAGGCTGTTAAGATCGGAATTTTTTTTTTAATTTCACTCAAAATGAGTTATTTGGGTCATAAATGACCTAAATACAAAATATTTTCATGGTGTCTGTCTGTCTGTCCGTCTGTCTGTAACTCGATAACTTAAAACCGCTAAACCGATTTTAACCAAATTTGACACAAAAATACTGTGGCACCCGAGAATCTGGTAAGGGGGTATGGAAGGGGGTTAAAAATTTAAAAAAATCGTAACTCCAAAATTACAGTAGCTAGCGAAACGCACTTTTCAATTTAAGATTAGGAGTAATATTTGCAACAAAATTTGTAATAACATCAAAACCAGTCAAAGTCCAGGTTTTTGAGGTAAAAAAAAATTGACGCGACCCCAGGTGGCGGATAGGGGAAATAACCGCGGACCAAAATTGGAGAAATTCCTTTACTTTGAAATTAAAAGAACTGCCTACCAACTTTTTCTTAACATATTTTAGTATGGGCGGCTATACGTGCCTCCCGGCGCCAATTTTTTTTTTATAATTTTAGTAAATTGTCAATTTTTTAAATGGGTATATTTTTATTCGGCATTGAATGTTTCGGCAAATAACGTTTTATGTAAAACTGGCTAGGTATATTTACACAAATGAAGAAGGAAATTAAAGATAAAGGATTATACTATATCCGTATTGTAGCACATTTTTAGACCACTTCTTTATTTTTAAGATTCTCTTGGTCAAACTCAACAAAATATTCCTTGTTTGGACTAAATTTTCTCGAAAATAAAGACATAATTTAAAATTCCGTTACAATACGGAAAAAGATTTGTGAAGTTTTGTGATTAAAGTGATATATAATTTATATGGTTCTGTAACAAATTGCTCGCTATTTTATTGCGCAATTTTATATATTTTATGCTTCAGCAAACGCTGAAGCTCTGCAAACCTTAATCAATCCTTAATCAAAGCATGTGTGTTTGGAATTTTGGATGTGGCTCAACACGACAGGATCGAGCTGGTAATATTTAAGTAAGAGGGGAGTGGTAGTATATTAAAGTAAAGTACTAAATTTAAATTAAATTTAAGTTGAAAGACAATGGACTGTAGAAAAAGCAAACTTGGATTGGTCTGGATTTTGAATAGTATTATTAATTAATAATAACTAGTAATAGTAACTTAATAATAACTTTATATAACTTAGTATTATTAACTAACGTAATATAACTTAGTATTATTAACTAATAGTAACTTTTGTGACAATTTTATGTTATACCACATTTCATATATGGGCATACAGGGCTTTGACAAATGTTAGTTCTTCATCTCCGATATCAGTCGTACCAAAGTTTATGGCACGAACGGTTGTCTCGGCGCATCCAGTGATGAGATGTTCTAGTGTTTCCCTATTTTACCCACAGAATCTGCATTCGTCGTTGTTTCTTAGATTCAATCTACTGAGGTGTTCATTGAGGGGACAGTGTCCTGTTAAAAAAACCGTGACAATCCAAATATTGTTCTGACTTAAATCAAAGAAAATCTTTGATTTTTCTCTGTCGTAAGTCTTGAGAAATTTCTTCGAGTGTCTTGGAGGGTTCCCATTCCTGGTTACGGATGGAGTCCTCCAAGTTCTTCAGTTCCGCTTGAAGCTAGTTAAGCTGGTTTCCACTTGGAAATCAGAACGGTTCTGGTCCAGTTAGTGGAGTGTTCGCTCCTTTTCTAGCTACATCGTTTGCTTTTTCATTACCTTCCATCCCTTGGTAGGCTGGCACGTTGAGTCGGAGAACTTTATTTTCTTTGCCTAATTTTTTCAGCTTCTCTAGGCATTCTTTGACCAACTTCGAATTAATGGTTACTGAGTTCATCGCTCTTAAGACTGCTTGGCTATGGGATAGACGGCTATTCCCGAGAGTTCCTATATCCCTTGATTATAGATGATATAGATAGACAATGATCGGATGCTTTGGGGCTCTGTTCACCAGGTGGCGAGGGCTCCTCAGAAGTTTTCGTATTCCCCTACGCTACAATCTCGAATTTTTAGGAAAAGTGGGATTTCTCACTCTCTAATTGGTCGATTACTAGAGTTTCCTTATTAGGAATGATTTTACTTGCCGTTAGTTAGGGTCA